TTGAGGATATGCAACCTTTGGGTAAACATTTCACAGTGGTTATCCTAGATTTATAATCATTCTTAAAGGAACCTGGGAAAGATCCCTCAAGAATTAAAATACTGGCCCTAGCTGGTTTGGCTTAGTGGATAGAGCATCAGCCTGTGGACTAAAGTGTCCCAGGTTCAATTCCGGTCAAGGGCAGGTTGTGGGCTCGATCCACAGTGGTGGGCGTGCAGGAGGCAGCTGATCAATGATCCTCTCTCATCATTGATGTTTCTATCTCTCTCTCCCTCTCCCTTCCTCTCTGAAATCAATAAAAATATATTAAAAATAAAGAATAAAAAATAAATAAAATGCCATGGAGAACTATGTGAAGTTTGTTTTTAAAAAAAGAATGAAAATACAGGACATTTGAATGCCACCTGCCCCTTTCCTAGTCATAAGCATTTTTGTCTATCAACCCAGGACAGGCGACTGAAATCTTTGTTTCAACAGAATATTATTTTCACTTGAGGTATTCCTCTGTTTGAATGACAACATCTAGGAAAGCACTTAGAATGGCACCCATAAAAAAGCTTTCAAAGTTCTCCCTCTTCATTAGATACCTCAGTGGTTTCACAATGATAGAACTCAACTTCTTTTCTGTGTCACTGGGTTGCTATGTAAAAGATGTTTTACATCTTACAATTTTGTTGAGTTGATAAGACTTACATACATGAGTGAAGAAATCATGGAACCTCTTGATTTCATATTCTGAGTAATTACAGGGCTACCTTAGATAAAATCACATTTATGTAACCTGTCTATGAACATGTGAATTCAGAGAAGTCAAAGGTAGTGTGACTTCCCACATATTATTGTATGTTCATTTTAATTTGTTTTTAGGAAACTTTTTATTTATCTCTTGATCTTATTGATAACCTATTTGTTCTTTAATAACATGCTATTTAGCCTCCATGTTTTTTAATGTTTTTTAGTGTTTCTAATGTAATTGACTTCTAAATTCATGCTATTGTGATCTGAGAAGATGCTTGATATTGGATTGCAATATTCTTAAACTTGTAAAACCTTGTTTTGCATCCTAACATGTGTTCTACCTTTGAGAATGACTCATGTGCATTTGAAAACAATGTATATTCTGCAGCTTTAGGGTAAAATGTTCTATCAATATCAATTAAATCCATCTGATACAGTGTGTCATTTAGATTCACTGTTTCCTTGTTGATTTTTTGTCTGGAAGATCTATACAGTGAAGTCAGCATGGGGTTAAAGTTCCTTAATATGACTGTATTGCTGTTGATCTCTCCTTTAATGTCCTTCAGAAGTGTTTTTTATATATTTAGGAGATCCTATATCAGATGCAAATATCTTTATCAGGGTAATATCCTCTTATTAGATCCGTCCCTTTAGTATTATGTAGTGGTCTTTATTGTCTCTTTTGATGGCCTTCGTTTTGAAGTCTATCTTGTCAAATATGACTATTGCTACCCCAGCTTTTTTTTTTTCGTTTTCATTTTCATGGAAAATGTTTTTCCAACCCTTCACTCTCATCCTGTGTGCGTCTTTGGTTCTGAGGTGGGTCACCTGTAGACAGCATATATTTAGGTCATGTTTTCATATCTATTCAGCTACCCTATGTCTTTTGATTAGAATATTTAATCCATTTACATTTTAGGTTATTGATATTTACTTATTTACTGCCATTTTAATTCTTTATGCCTATGGTTCTTTCTCTCTATATTTCTTCTTCTCATTACAGCAGTCCCTGTAGCATTTCTTGCTGATTTGTTGGTGATAAACACCTTTAGCCTTTTCTTTTCTGGGAAGCTCTTCATTTCACCACCTATTTTGAATAATAGCCTTGCTGGATATAGTAATCTTAGTTTCAGATCCTTGCTTTTCATTACCTTGAATACTTCATTCCATTCCTCTTGCCTGTAGAATTTCTTGCCAGAAGCTAATTCCAGCATGTCATAAATGCAAGAAGTTTTATCAAAAGGTTGATGGAACCTTGAGGATTGCCTGCTGGAAATGGCTAAGGGCATTTCCCCACACCTAAAGATTTGCATAGATGATTGCTTGCTGCCAGACAGCTGAGGGCATTTCAAGCTACATGTTATTGCCTCCTACTGGCCAAACACCTGAAACAGCTGAAGGCAGTTCCTCCAATATGACAATGGATTCTGTATACTAAACCTTGCCTTTGATATGTATATCTACCTTGCTTTAGGACAATTTGTGTTACTAAAAAGCAAGGGGTCCAGAGAGACAGGAGAACTTGGTTCCTACAGCCAAGCTCCTCTGGCTCCCCAAAATGCCTTCCAAAATTATGTTTCATCTCTAGACTCTTTAATAATTACCTCAGCCCTTCTCCAGATTCCTCAACCTTTCTAGATGCTGGATAAGACTCCCGGCAGTTTCTGATGAAAAATCAACTGACAGCCTTATGGGAGCTCCTTTGTAGATAACAAATTATAGGGAGTGGCTATAGGATCAAGCCTCGGATTGACCTGTGGAAGGGCCACAAACAAGTCCCAGCTTGGAGGGCAGAGGTCTCTAAGCATAATTAAGCTTAACATTATAGCCCTCCCTAGTTCCTTCCTAAGTAGCTAATGGGCTGTGGGAGGTGCAACAAGTGCTGCCAAAACAAGGTGAAACGCATAAGAACATTGTAAACATGTTGACCACTTCCTGTGTTTTGCTTTGTGTGTTCTGACTATAAAATAAAGCCTCAGCTTGCAGGCGGGGTCTTTCTGTGTCCTCATCCAGGCACAGGAGATCTACCAAGCCCCAACTGTATTCACTTGTCTGTCTTCTTTAATCCTTCACCACCCCTCCTCAGGTTCACCCTTGGCCATGCAGGCACAGCACAACAATTTGCTTTCTCTTGTTGCCTTTAAGATTCTTTCCTTACTTTAATTTTTGGCATTTTAATTATGATGTGTCTTGGAGTGGGCAAGGTTTGGTTTGGGTTCTTCTTGCTTGGGACTCTCCTGAACTTATGTGACTTTTTCCTTCACCAGGTTAGGGAAGTTTTCTGCCCTTATTTCTTCAAACAAATTCTCTATCTTGCTCACCTTCTTTACCTTCAGGCACTTCTATGATGCATATATTGTTATGTCTCATGTCCCACAGCTCCCTTAAGCTCTCCTCCTATTTTTTAATTGTTTGGGGTTTTTTTTTTTTTGGTTCTCTGATTGCGTCATTTTGTCTACTGTCTTCTTATTCACTGATTTGAACCTCAGCTCCCCTATCTGCTGTGTATTCCTCCCAATGTGTTCTTTAATGGTGGTATGTCATTCTTCTTTTCTGACTGGTCTTTTTTCATAGTTACTATCTTTTCTCATACTGTTGATCATCATTGCCATCATTCTGAACTCTGTATCTGATAAATGTCTTAATTCCATTTTGTTTAGTACTTCTTCTTGAGAATTCTCTTGTTCTTTCATCTGGGGCTTGTTTTTTTGTCTCCCCATTTTGGCTGCCTGTTTGGGTTTGTGTCTATGTGCTAGATTGATCTGCTATGATTCCCAATCTCTAGTGTAGGACAATGACAGATGCTGTTTGTGACTGGCCCTGAGTACCCTGTTTGGAGCTATCAACAATCCACAGCTTGCAGCTCCCTCTGTTGTGGCTGGGTGCCTTTGGAAATCACCAAGATGTGCACCAAGGTCTGCTTTTCCTAGCTCCAGGCCTAGAAGGAAATCAGGCAAAGACTGAAAGTCTGCTGAGATCCACGTCTGCCTGCAGTTGAATAGACATTCAGTCTTGATTAGCCTCAGGCTATGAAACACAGGGTGGGGTGAGAGGTATTCCAACAAGGTGGGGCAATTGCCCCCTCACCCCCCACCCAGGCAAAAGCTGCCTGGATAGCAAATGTCTGCATGAGAAAGATGTCCTCTGTGTGTGAGGGAATGACTCTGCACAGGAAACTGGGGTGGCTCCCTTCCGAGCTCTAACCTCCGAGCCTCCAACCCTGGATTCTGCTCACACAGCTCTAGTTCCCGCTCTCCTCCCTCTTCTGGAGCCCAAGGTGAGTAGCTGCACACAAAATTTTTTGTGTTGGCCCACTAAGAGGGTGCTTGCATTTCCAGCCATTTCTCCCTGGCAGACAGCAACCCCACTGCTTTTCACTGCCCGATGTTCTGTGGGCACCTTTCTCAGGTCTGGTGTTCTGGGCTGGGGAGCCCGGCTTGAGGTTTATATCCCAGAGTTCTCAGTGCAAACCCCCCACAGCTGAGATATCCTTCCAGAAGTTCAGCTGCTGCCTGTTGGAACCCAGCCAGCCCTTTCCTATCTCCGGCCTTCCTACCAGTCTCTATGTGGTCTCCACTTTCTGTCCTTGGTTATCAGGATTCTCTCCAGCTATTCTTCAGCTTATTATTCAGGATATTTTTTTCTGTATTTCAGTTGTAATTCCAGTTTGATCCTGGGAGAGTGTCAGTGTAGCTTCCACTTACTCTGCCACCATTTTGGAATTCCCCAACATTCTTAAATGAAGCCCACAATCATGCTGTCTTTACTGTTATTGTGGTTTTTAAATCACTAAACATGAAGGAACACTACAAAAAGAACCAGTATCATAGCAACACCTCCTAAATCTTCACAGCATATTTAAAGTAAATTCAGATAGTGATTCCAAGAGCACTGAGCAAGGCCCAACTAAAGATAAATACAAAGTACACTCTGGCTCAAATATAAGTGATTTGGGGGTTAGTCTCAACTTCCCTGTCCTTCATACAAGTCATATCTTGAGTTTTCTAGACAACATAATTGGGAAAACAAGACTATAGGTTCCTTGTGTGTGCCCTGTGCACTGCTTGAAACACTCTGCAAGCAGGAGCCAGACAGCTCTAGCAATCATTTTTCTGAATTAAAGGATACACCCAGGCATGCTCACAAGTGAGAAAAAGACCCATTACAAAAAGAGCTTCAGTGATTTTTGGTATCTTCTTGGTTATGATTATCAGTAACTTCACCATACCCCAGTAATATCAGTAATAGAAAGTTGAACTTACTTCTTCGGGAGCAAATAATATGCCACATTCCATAGATGTCTCTCCCTCTAACTCTAAATAATACCGGTCAGGAAATGCAGGGTCTTTGTGTTTCCCTATAAGACAAGAAAGAGTGCATGTAAAAGAAGCCCATCTATATATATAAAAGCCAAGCAACCGGAACAACGGAACCACTGGAACAACCGGTTGCTCGGACGCACACTGTGGCAACCAACCAGCCCGATC